ATTGTTTTAAGTTATAGTTTTGATTGATAGTGAAATTAGTTTTAGTTTAACGTATATAGTTTTGTTTAGTAATTTAGCAATATTTATAGTTTAGATTTTAAAGTTTGTAGTTTGATTTTTAGTGAATTTTAGCATTAGTACGTACCTGTAAGTCATACACAAGAAATTTTAGTTGGAGGAATTTAGTTTTAGGTTAAGTATATAGTTGTAGAGCGTAACGATAGAGCCTAGTCTGGTGAGAAATAAAACCTATGCAAAAGTAAAGTTTGGCTATAGGTTAGCCTTGTAAGTTTTGGTTACAGGTTATCTAAGGTATAAAAACTCATGAGTTTTTGGTTACGAGTTAGCTGAGGTATAAAACCCTAAATTAAGTTAGTTTATAGAGTTCTGGTTATAGGTACATCAAAGAACCTAAAACTAAATTCCTCCAACTAAAATTTCTTGTGTATGACTTACAGGTACGTACTAATGCTAAAATTCACTAAAAATCAAACTACAAACTTTAAAATCTAAACTATAAATATTGCTAAATTACTAAACAAAACTATATACGTTAAACTAAAACTAATTTCACTATCAATCAAAACTATAACTTAAAACAATCTGCTAAACTTTAAACAAAAACTATAATTCGCTAAAATCAAAAAAAAAACTATCAATTTTAAAAAACCAAAACATTGCCTTTAAAATTTTCTAAATTCGTCTAAATTTTTTTTTTTTATCATTATTGACCTCATATCAGGATTTAGGAGCATAACAGATAAGTATTTTTGATTTTTGTGTATCTTTCTTTTTGTTGTATTATCTTTATTAATTTATTTATTTTCTAGAGTTTTTCTTTTTTTCGGCATCACGTTATTGGATTCTTTTAGACTTTACGGGAATCGGATCGATTTTTAGGTTTGTTCTGCAACTGTACAAGATCAGGTAAATAGATGGCCTTCTTTTCATCTTTTCATCTTGTTTTTGTAATATCACCTATATGATCGTTATATTAGCTGTTAGTTGATCATCTACTTATTTAAAATCTTTCAATCTTTTGTACTTAGCTTTATTCTTTCTTTCAATATTTTTCTTTTAGCAGGGAATGTAACATTTTTCTTGTTTTTTCGGATCAAGTAGGCATTTTTACTTCTATTTCCTGTTTTCTTCTCTATGTCTCTTCTCATTTACAAATCTTTTGTTCTTGTAGTATTGATCTTCTGGATCTTTGAGAATTTCCACTGGAGCACCTTTGTCTTGTTTTGGGTGTGGATCTTAGCAAGGATCTTGGCAAGAGAAGTATATTTATTTATTGTTTTTTATTATTTTTTATTATTATTTTTTTTTTTTCTTTTTTTCTTTTATATTTTTCTGGTTACTAACAATCTCTTTTTTTTTTTTCTTTCAGCTATATGAAATGGATTGAGGTGTCTCTCTAGTCAGTTATTATAGGTATACTATGTTAAGATTTGTGAGCAATAGAATCAGGATTTCAGAAAGCTAGGTCTTCTGGAGGATAGAACTTTGACTTGGGACTTGTGTATGGGGCTTCAACTTGGGCTTGAATTGGAACTTGGGTAAATTGGAACTTAGATTTTTTTTTTTTCTACTAATTTTTCTATTTATTTTAGGTCAGTATCTTTGTGAACAACTGCGACAACAAATAAGTTTGGAATTGGGCATGTATAAAGAACTATACGCAAGAGGACTTGTACACGACAAATTTTGAAGCTAAGTATCAATTTTTGTTTTTCTTTTGTTCTTGTTTTACTCATTTACTAATATTATACTGGATTTTAGAGCATCAGAATGTCAAGTAAGAGTATTTGATGAATAGCATTTGGTGAAACATTGATCGATGGTCATGAGAACAAGACCGTTAAAAAAAATATACAGCACATATAGATCAGAAATTTTGGGATTTAATTTTTGCAGAATATGGTCATCTTCATATTGAGTTTCTTTGAATAGGTGACCTGAGATCCTGTCGTCGTCACTAAATATAACCAAAATATTCAATTATAGGGTGGGTTTAGATTTTTATTGGAAGAAATTCAAGACGAAGAGGTTTTTAATTAGATCATTAGGACTTGAGGCAGTGGACAATGCCTTTTTGCAAGTCTTTACAGAACATTTTTATAAAAAAACATTTTACTAATACTTAACTATTTAATAATTAGCCTATTATCTCTAAAACTATTTACAATCTCTTCTTGTTACAAACCCATTTGGTATTTGATTGCTATCTTAACAATGCTATGTATAACGATCTATGCATAATGATAATAAAGTAACAATTTAATAAATAAACGATAAATAAATAAATATACAAGTTGGGTAAAAGGTCTGTTGATGTCACATGATCATCATGTGTATCGTGATCACATAATCATCATAGCATATAATATTAACTATAGCCAATTTTATTATTATGTTACAATATAAGTGTCACTAAAAGAAAACCTGAAAATTTAAATATGATTTATATTTAAATTTTCAGGTTTTCTTTAATAATACTCATATAGAAATGCCAATTTTTAATGCTTATTTAATCAATTTTGATTGGCTAATTTTTGTATAATTAATTCTGATTGGTTAAAAAAAAAATATATTTTTTTTTTTCTATATTAAATGCAAATTTTTTGAGCTCAAATAAACTTTAATTTTTTATAATCAATTTTTTCTAAATACAATTTATACAGATATTATAGAAATTTTAAAAAATCTTGTATTTAAAAAGATATTATATTTAGGAAAATAAAAATTTATAAGTTATATATATAATAGAGACATAGCAAAACTATATATTTATAAAGATTTTTCATAAAATATATATTTAAAAAGATTGTATTTATAGAGGTCTAACTGTATTTTACAGAAACTTGCAAATTTGTAACTTTAATATTATTTGCAATTAGCTATAAAATTACTATAAAGTAACTATATAGTTACTTTATAGTAACTATAGTTTTGTATTTGCAATATGTTAGCAATATATCTACTACTACTTACTACCATATTTCTACTAGTTTACTGCTATTTTACTATACTTTTACTACAATTTTATTAAAAATTTTTTAATAAAATTATAGTAAAAATATAGTAAAATAGTAGTAAACTAGTAGAAATATGGTAGTAAGTAGTAGTAGATATATTGCTAACATGTTGCAAATACAAAACTATAGTTACTATAAAGTAACTATATAGTTACTTTATAGTAACTTTATAGCTAATTGCAAGTAATATTAAAGTTGCAAATTTGCAAGTTTCTGTAAAGTATAACTTTTTCAAAACAAAGAATAAAAAAATCCTTTAACAGGAATATAATTTATCTAAAAATCTATCAATTTGTTAAAAAGTTTTTTGATTTAGCTTGTTTTAAAAAAATTATAATACTTTAAAATTTTTACTAATAAACATTAGATGTATTTTATTGTCTAATACTGTATAATTACTAGATATATTAGAACCTTCTTAAGTATATGCTCTAAAAGTATACACGCTATGTAAATTTTTTCTAAATAGTTAGCTATACTGTAATCTAAAATTAGAATTTAAAAATCTGATTGTTAATCCTTACTGCAGAGTTATAAAAATATATCTGTGTGGTTGGCTAATTGATATCAATTAAACAAGTTATATTAAAAAATTTAAACTTGATTTTCTCAAAATTTAAAAAAAACTATAAGCCATGTTTTGGTTTAATATATCACATGTAATTCTATATAAAAGTCAGTAAAATTTTTATATAATATTTATAATAAACTACTGCAACAACAGTATAGTTTTGATAAAATTTTAGTTTTTCTATTATTTTTCAGGTTATGAAAAAAATTCTTTATTACATTAAAATATGCTATCCATTGAACTCTTACGAAGTAGATTAATATATAAAATGTCAAGAAAATATATAACAATTTTCTACAAGAAATTGTGAAGTTCAAATTGTATCTCCTCAACATACTACATATTAATTTATTTTGAAATTTCGCATGAGTTTAATGGATAGCATGTTTTAATATAAAAGAGTTTTTTTATAAACTGAAAAATAATGAACTACAAGACATTCTTGTTATAGTGAAGAGATCGGGCTGAAAAAAAAATCTTCACTATAGCTTATATCGAGAAAATACTATATAAACTTTATTATATCGAGAGAAAAGTTAATAATAATGGCAATGAATTTAAAAAATTCTTCACTATATCAAGATCTCACTATATCGAGAGTTCACTATAACGAGAGTGACTTGTATTACATTTACACTAATAATAAAAATACTGCGGCAACAGTATAATTTCGATTATTTTTCAGGTTATAAAAAAAAAGCACTCTATTTAATTAAAATTTGCTATCCGTTATGCTTTCACGCGAAACTTCCAAATAGATTGATATGTAGAATGTCGAGGAGATACAGTTTGATTTTTGTAGAAAATCGCCATATATTTTATATATTTTCTCAACATTCTATATACGGTATAACCTCGATATAATGAACCTCGATAAACCGAATCAGCCACTATAACGAAGAATTTTTCTAGTTGAAATTATGGATTCATTATAATAAGGTACCTCAAAATATATCGAAACTTTGATATATCGAACCGCTTCGTTATATTGAGGTTAGACTGTATTAATCTAGCTTATTATGAATGATACATATAGATATGATTTACATAGTACATCGAACGCCCCAGTACTACGTACCGGTACGTACCGTTAAAAAAATGATTTACAATTATTTGTCACGCGGGATACTGTATGCGGCGGCAAATGGTAATTATTAAGTCATGCCGAGATTCTTGTGCAGTTTATTTGTTTAATTTCCATTTTAGATACGTAACGTAAAAATAAATGATCGATACAATACGTAGGAAGAGTACTACTATTCTCATCATAGATTTTTCCTGTTCAACCATGAATGTATATATTAACTCACTTTTTTTGTTGTCCGTAGCGATAATGCGAATAGTATATAGCGGTAGCAAGGGAGGCCCAAGAGTACCGATCATATGACCCGATGCATAGCGCCGACACACAATTCTACAATAAGAATGATTATGAATCTGCCCGACCAGGTTGCATTGGTTAACTATAAATAGTAAATAAACTCTTTTTGACTGATTTACTTATTTGTGCCGGTAATACAACCCAAAAAGAAAATTGAATTTTGTACCAAAGTCAATTTAAACACTAGTTTTTGAGTATCTCACTGATTGGCTATTTTCTTTTTAGGAGTTTGTATTACCGGCACAAATAAGTAAAGTAAAGCCTTCTTTGACTTTACAAATTTAGAAGTGAACGCCAATGGAATGATCGTGCCAAGAAATCTATAATTCGGAAATCATTTAACGTTAAAAACATTCTACAGCGACAGTATTTCTTAGCAATAATTACTATTATTGCTATCGAACTGTACAAACCCGGAAATCTATTCCTTGATATGATTGTTTCCCCGATGATTATTTTTTATGTAAAACAATTTCATTGAAACAAATTTTCTCGGTGCCAATATTACCGGCAACCAAAATCCTGTTTATATCATTACAGAATAATTTGCGCAAGTTATTTGGTTGACATAATAATTTATTATTTATGCACTCGTATTACCCAAATCCTTTGTTTATTCCCAATTTAATCTGTTAATTACCCTCAGATGATGAAATTCTAAACCCTATGGTTGCTAAATTAATTCGCTTCGTATGATGTCATGTAGTGAACTAATCCTATCGTCATTTAATTATTATATATTACCTTTTTCAAACATTCTTGTTATTACGTATTAACCTTTGATCCGAATTATGACAGTAAAGTTATCAAACAGATCCAAACATGCATTTAATGTTAACTGCATACAGTAAACTGTATTTTCAAATACATATTAAAATAGTTATTGCCAAGAAAATAAAATGAGATTTTTATACTATACGTAATAAGAATACAAACGCGTGAGTATTATTTTGTTCATATAAAAGCACAAATATGGACACGCGTGAGGGCAAATTTGAATTCTTTTTTTAAACTTGTTAGTTTTTGGTATGATATTATAAATCAGCCAAGAGTGAATCAAAAACGTAATTGTTGATACATCGAAAATATAGCTTTGTATCACTTTGCCGAAACATTTAATGCCCTTCACTAGTTTCTGAAAATAAATAGCTGGGTTATACTTCAAACTGAAATCTCAGTTTTAAATATTGATGCCTTTATGCAATATAAGTTCTTACATTAACTTTTTTCTTTTATAAATTTTGCAAATAACGATAAATTTTTCATTAATGAGAGCTTTTCGAATTCTTGTACTGTTTACGATAGCATTATTGGTATTGCTTGACGCATATACAAATGCAGAACAAAATAATGATCCGGATTTTATGGTTATTGGTCTTAAAAAAAGAAATGTTGCCTATAGCACAGATATAGAAAATTTTATGGCATTAAAAAAAGCTTACATAGATAAAAAATATTCTAAACTAAGCAAGCGTCAATCTCCATCTTCGACTATAATGTTAACCGATGAAGGTAAAGATGCCGCTTATTTTGGCCTTATTTCAATTGGTAATCAAAATTTTAATGTAACTTACGATACTGGATCCTTGGATCTTTGGGTTCCGGATATTTCATGCCCTACCTCTATATGTGGGAGTCATAATCGATTTGATCCTTCAAAATCTTCTACATTTCAACCATCTAAGAACAATTTTTCCTTACCTTACGGTATTCCTGGTGATAACCAAACTGTTAGTGGTTATGAAGGTCAAGATACTGTCAAACTTGGTGATATCTCAGTCACACAACAGACCGTTGGATTAGCAGTAATTAATCCTTTTCAAGATCAAATAGAAGACGGAATTCTTGGTCTTGGGCCTGTAAATGTAGAAGGATTTAAAGTGAATGGTGTTATGCAATCGATAAAAGAGCAACATAAATTATCTAAAAATATCATTGGATTTCATTTGGCAAAAGAAAGAAAAGATTCAAGGGACGTAAGCTTTATGACACTTGGTGGTGTTAACCAAAAAGCTGTCGTAGGTTCAATTGAATATAATACTGCAAATGTTACTCTTGGGTATTGGTTGATCGCATTAAAAGATGTTAAGGTTGATGGAAATTCACTTGGTTTCAGGTCGTCAGCATTTTCAGCTGTTATTGATACTGGTTAGTACTATTTATTCTTCTTAATTTAATTATTATTAGAAATTAAAATTTAGTTTATTTTAGGTACTTCGTTAATATACGGTGTTCCTGCTATAGTTGATTTACTTCATGCCAACATTCCCGGCGCTATGTTTTATCAACAACAGTTTTGGGTTGTTCCATGCGGTACAAAATCTGTAGTTTCATTTACATTTGAAAGCGGTTCATATTCAATCGATCCTAGTGAACTTGTTGTGAAAACTAATCAATCAGATGAAATATGTATTTCAGGTATACAACGAAATACCGCAAACTTTTGGTTAATTGGTGATGTGTTTTTGACAAATGTTTTTAGTGTATTTGATTTTGATAATTATCAAGTTGGATTTGCTCAAACAACTGTAATGTATGATTTAAATACTAGTGGTAGTGCAAAGGTTTCTCCACCGATTCTCTGGAAAACTTTTATATTTATTTTGACTATTATTATTATTATTTTTTAAGTATTATTTAAGTTTAGAGTCTTTTATTAATAGAATTTGTTATTTCAATTCTAAACCTGTAAATTATGTTGCTTTGAAATTAACGTAAATTTAAATGCTGCATACGCTATTTTATAATTAGTATAAATTGATGTAAATTTTAAATAACTTTCAATGAATAATTTTATATACTAATGATATTTCGATTGCATAATTTTAAAGTATCTAGGTATGACTTATCTCCTTCAATTTATATATGTTATTTTTTAATATTGGTATTGTAAATATATAGAAATAGATATAATAGATATGCCTTTTCATTAGGGTTCTGCAAGTTTCGGGCACGGTGCCGTTAAAACATAGTGCCAGACATTCCAGGCACTATGTTCTAATTGCGCCCTATTTTTCATACTCTCACAATTATAAGAACACCGTTATACTGTGGTTACATTCAAAGTAACAAATCTTGTTATATAATTAACTTAAATACAATATATGCAAGGGTATGTTAAATATATACAAGAAATACATTACAGAAACTGTCAATTTAGCAACTTCAGAACTAACAATATAGTTTTACATTTACTATACGTTAGCAATACGCCTACTACTATTTTACTATACTTTTACTACAATTTTGTAAAAAGTCAAATTTTCGATTTTTCGTAAAATTATAGTAAAATAGTAGTAAAGTAGTAGTAAACTGTAGTTACTATAAAGTACTTTACAAAAATCTTACATTTTTGCGGTAGGTGTAAATTAATTATTGGGTCGTCACGATGAATTTTTCATAATAAATCACAAATTTAGTTTCTTACGAGGTTTTTTGAAAACCTAAAACCTCGTTAAAACCTTGTTAATAGTTCTAGTAAAAAACCAAATTTGCCATTTATTATGAAAAATTTCTCTTGATAACCTATAATCTTAATAACTTACATTAGATCTAGAATATTTAATGTTATTGCAAAATTTTGATTTTTTGTAAAGTAGTTATATTGTTATTTTAAAGTAGTTTCTAAAGTCATTAAATTTGTAGTTTTTGTAATATCTGCAATATTACAGAAATCTTAAGGAGATAAAATATTTTAGATCTAGTGTAAATTATTAATATTTTATTTGTATTTATATGTTAGCAATATGCTTACTACTGATTACTACTATATTACTAGTGTTTTTATGAACTAAGCTCAAGTTTAGTTCAAAATTGAATTGAACTTGAACTTGAATATTTTTTAAAAAAAGTTTAGTTGAGGTTTAATATTAAATTTTTAAGTCAAGTTCAGGTTCAGTTCAGGTTTAGTTCAAAAGTTCATAAACATATTCAAGTTCAATAAATTATATATATATATTATATGTTATTAAAAATGATCTATCTCTAATAATAAATTTTTTTTTTTTAAAAAAATAACATAAAAACTTTAGATCTAAATATAAGTTACTTATATAATCATCAGTAGTTACTCTATAGTAAAGTCAAATGTTTACTAAGTAAATCAATTTACTTTATTAAGTAAAAGTTGTTTAGAAGATTAAAATATATATATCTTAAAAATTTTATATAAATTAAATTAATTAAATAAGTATTATATAATATTAATTATTATATATATAATAAAAATCTAAATTAAGTAAATAAAACTAAGATTGAATGAAAAATTGTTAAAAGTAGAATAATTGCAAAATTATTTATTATTACCTATTGAAAAAAATTTGTAATAATATTAAGTATGCATATATATATAGTAATTTTGCCTATCTTTAATTAGTATATTAAAAAAAAAGATATTATTATACGTAGAATTGTAATAATTAGTTGAAAGTAATATATTTAGTTTATAAATATGATGAATCTTTAGTTAAATTGTTATGTATAAAAATTACTTAGTACTTGTATATAATCTTAAACACATATTTTTAATTTAGTCAAATAATTCTGTATAACAATATTTTGTATATTATTTAGAAACTGTTTTTACATAATTTAGGAGTTAATTAAAATTAATTTAAGTCTGATAAAAATTAATTCAATTATAGTTGTCATTTTTTTGTATATATTAAAAATTAAATTACTATAGTAATCAAATTATTTCGATATTAAGTAAAAATCTAAGATTTGTATAGCAAAGATATATTGATATTTGTAATATATTTTATTATGATAAAAGGTAATAGTAATTAATTTTTTATATTTAGTATGAATTATGTTAATAAATATTTATATAGTGGTTTTTTTTTTAATTCTAAATTTATAATGAATTGTGTTTTTCTTTAAGAAAAAGAAGACAAATATAAGAAAACTTAGCTTTTGTAAATTTAGTTTTTAGATGCTTTATGGACTTTCATTATCTTAAATTTGTGAAGATTACTAGGTAGAGAAGAAAAATATATTAAAAATTGGAATTAGGTTTGTTTGTAATGCTAAATTAAGATTTTGATTTAGAGAGGTAAAGATAAAGATGGTATTTATATTAGATAGAGTAGGATAGCTTTTTTTTGGAGTTTTCAGAGTAGCATCACAAGATTGCTAATTTTTTTTTATGCATATTCTGGGATGCTTGTTTGTATTAACCATAAGGAACAGAAGATTAAAAGGTTGAGTTATTATAGTTAGAAGTGATCATAATGATATCTTTCAAAATTATAATAGATTTTTTGTTATTGTTTTATAAATAATAATACTGTTATAGAACAGTTTATTATTTTATTAGTTTATTATTCCGATATTGTATTTTATTATTTATTTTATTATTATTAA